ATTTGAAAATTAAATTGATACTGAAATAAAAAGAAATCCCCTGGAGGAAACACACCCATAACCTAATCATAGAAAAGGCTGTCTCCAGAAAGCAGGTGTTTCTAACTGCGCAAAAGGCAGCTTCTGCTGGAGCAGGGAGGATGTGCCCTTCTCAGCAGGGGATGCACTTTGGTAAACTGAATGCTCTTACAGAACGCTTCTCCAGCATGTTCCATCAAATCAAAGCTGGGTGGCCAGGCTGGCAGTTGAGAAAACAGACAGTTTAATAACCATCATGATACTGCAGCTCCTCAGACAATTAAGCAGCAATTTTATCAATAAATCATCACAAGTGAGCTCAGGACTTCAGGTTTAATCAGCAAAATTTGTCAATTTGAAAAAGAGAGGGCTGGGCGTGGTGGTGCATGCCTGTAATTCCCGCACTCAGGAAGCTGAGGCAGGAGGATCCTTGCGAGTTCCAGACCAACCTGGACTACAAAGTGAGCTCAAGGCCAGCCTGAACTGCATAGTGAGACCCTGTCTCAAAAAGAGAGAGAGGGAGGAAATAAATAAACTGATTTTATAAACCAGCCACTTCAAACTAGAAACATTTTAAGCTTAAAAAATTATTTTTACTGAAGTTTTTGTTTCCAACCCATGGTCTGAACTCTTAAGTTCTTTGTAAACTAGTATGCACAGAAGAACCGTGGTATTATGGGTTGGAACTGGCCTAGGTCCTGTGCAGAGGAAGCGTAACTAAAGCATTATGAACATTTTAGGGAAATCTCCTTTCTAGACTGTCTTGGCAAACTCAGATTCTGTTACCAGTGTTCGGAATTTCTGAGAGGACTATTTTAAAAAATATGTAACTTTTTTTCTATAATAAAAACAGAACCACGACTCTTGATGGTGACTAGTACTGTGTTGTCACTGCATCTGACATAGGGCTTAACTTCCCATAAACACAGCGACACAAATCTCAACATCTGTATTTTAAAGGGAAACATCCTGAGGACTGGCTCAAGCCCACTTCATTGTATTAAGCTGAATCTTACTGTTCTTGGCTAATGTGTCTTGCTGAGGACTTTTCAAATAAAAATACCCTATGTCACTACATTCTGTTAAGCAAAAATGACAATGAAAAATAAAATAAGGAGTAACTTAATTTAAATTTTGATGATCCTAGCTTAAAGCCTGTGACAGTATGCTCATTCCTAAATATTCCTCATAGACATGTTTACTTCAGTATTATACTCCCATCCCCCAAATTTGTTCCACTGTCTCAGAAAATAAAATCTAGTTTCTAAATGTTCTTCTCTCAATACCTTTTGTCTTTTTTTGTCTTTTTGAGACAGGGTCTCACTATGCAGTTCAGGCTGGCCTTGAACTCACCTTGTAGCCCTGGCTGGCCTCAAACTCGAAGTGATCCTCCTGCTTCAGCCTCCCAAGTGCTGGGATTATAGGCATGTGCCACCACGCCCAGCTTCTATTTCTCATCTACATATACATACGTGTAATCACCACTTTTTTGTATAATCATCATTTTAAGAACTATCTTATAAAAGGGGGACTACCTAGAATAAAATGCCAAAAAGTTATTTTTAAAAATGAAATTCTGGGGGCTGGGGATTTAGCTCAGCGGCACAGTGCCTGCCTGGTAAGCGCAAGGTTGTGAGTTCGATTCCTGGTACCAGAGAAAACCAAAAAAAAAAAAAGAAATTCTAAAAGCCACCAATACTTTTCCTCTCCTGTCTATCTCAAAGGTACCCAACCTTCTAGCCAGATCATGGACCAATAGCTCGAGGTTGCTCCAGGGATTCCACTTCAAGCTCTGCAGCATAGCCCAGGGCATGCAGCCCTGCAGAGCAGGTAAATGTGAGGTGAATATGCAATCCAGGCGTCTGTGGGAAGGACATCCAATGGGGTCAGTGTACCCCAAGATACCGGTATTCATCTTCTTGTCACCCTCAATTTAGACAACAAAAGACAATCAATTCCTTCTTTCAGTATTTCATAATCTTTCAATAAGCCCAATGGTATGATTCTTTCTTGACATTATGTGGAGATATAAAATTCATGGCTAGATCGAGATAACTGCACTTTTTTCTTTCAACATGAAGCACAGACTTTTTTAGTGTTAAAAATGAGCTACACATAATGTATACCATGAATATCCACTCAGGTATTTGTGAAAAATCACATTTTTTTTTAAATTTTAAAGAGTAAAAGAAGGATAACATAGTAATAGGAGGGGCTTACCAAATTAAAAATCACATTTTAAAAATCAGTCGGGAACCCAGGCATGGTGAAACACGCCTTAATCCCAGCACTCGGGAGGCTGAGGCAAGAGGATCTTTTCGAGTCTGAGACCAACCTGGGCTATAAAGTGAGCTCAAGGCCAGCCTGAACTGCATAGTGAGATTCTGTCTCAAACAGACACAAAAACAAAAAAATCCAGTTGGAAAAACAATCGACCCTCTTCCCTTTATTAAATTTCTCGCCATGCACTGCAGTGTGCAGATCGAGCTGGACATGCAGCCACCGGAGTACAGAGCTGGAAGCCATGGCTCCACTGCACGGGTGACAGTTCTTGCTGCAACCTAACCTCTTTCTTGGTCTCTGTACATGTCTGTTTTTATTTTTCTTCTAAATTCTTTTCCTCCTGGGCTGAGAGTGTAGCACAGAAGCAGAGTACATGCTTATTATGTGCAAGGCCCTGAGTTCAATGCCCAACACCACAAAAAAATTTCAAAATAAAAATCTCTTCCACGGTACAGGAATGTGTCTATAATCCTAGCACTCAGGAGGCTAAGGCAGGACACTCACATAGGCAGACAGCCTGAGCTGCACAGGAGTTCAAGGGAGGCCTGGACCACACATATTCTCTCAAAAAAGTAAACGAGCTGGGTACAGTGGCACACACCTGTAATCCCAGCACTGTGAGAAGCTGGGGGAGGAGGATCCAAAATTTCAACCATGCCTGGGTAGCTTAGCAATTTAGGGGACTGGGTCTCAAAACATAAAATAAAATGGATTGGAGATATGGCTCAGTGAAAAGGCCCTAGGTTAAATCCCCAGTATTGAAAAAGTAATTATTTCCCTTCCAAATTAGGAAAGCAATACATGAAGCTTGACAAGGTGGTACACCTATAATCCCAGCTACTCTGGAGGCTGAGGCAGAACAGCAAATTCAAACAAACCTAGGCACCTAAGCAACTAAGCAAAAC